TTGGAATAGTTGATGGTGGTGGAATTATATGTGGATTTCCACCTCTTTTCTTTTGGCTGTTGGTAAGGTGGGATTATCTATTTCCTATGTTTTTCTGGTTATAGTTAACTCCCTTGGGTTGGGGTTTTACTTCCAGAACTTTCTGTAGGGCTGGGTTAGTGGATACGTATTGTAAATCTGGTTTTGTCATGGAATATCTTGTTTTCTCCATCTATAGTGATTGAAAGCTTTGCTGGGTATGGCAGTCTGAGCTGGCATCTGTGGTCTCTTAGTGTTGGTAGAATATCTATCCAGAACCTCCTGGCTTTCGGAGTTTCCATGGAGAAGATAGGTGTGATTCTGATAGGTTTGCCTTTGCATGTTACTTGGCCTTTTTCCTTTGCTGCTCTTAATATTCTTTCTTTATTCTGTATGTTTGGGGTTTTTACTATTATGTGGTGAGGGGATTTCCTTTTGTGATCCACTCTATTTGGTGTTCTGTAGGCTTCTTGTACTTTCTTTAAGTTGGGAAAGTTTTCTTCTATGATTTTGTTGAATATGTTTTCTGCCCCTTTGAGGTGGATTTCTTCACCTTCTTCTATACCTATTATTCTTAGGTTTGGTCTTTTCACAGGGTGCCATATTTCCTGGATATTTTGTGTTAGCGATTTGTTGGACTTAAGATTTTCTTTGGTCGATGAATCTATTTCCCCTAATGTATCTTCAACACCTCAGATTCTGTCTTCCATGTCTTGTATTATGTTGGTTTTGCTTGTATCTGTAGTACCTGACCGTTTGCCCAGCTTTCTATTTCCAGTATTCCTTCAGACTGTGTTTTTTTTAATTGTCTCTATTTCAGCTTTCAACCCTTGCACTGTTTGAATTGTTTCTTGTAATTTTTGCTTTGTCTTTTCCTCTCTTTCTTGCATTTGTTGCAGTTTTTGGGTTGCCTTTTCTTCCATTTCTTACAATTCATGCATTTTTTGGATTGTTTTTTCCTCCATTTCTTGTATTTTTTGGTTTGTTTTTTTCTTCCATGTCTCTAAGGGATTTTCTCATATCTTCTTTGAGGGTCTCTATCATTTTCATGAAGTTGTTTTTAAGGTCTTTCTCATCTGCTTCTTCCACAATGGACTGTTCAGGTCTTGCGGGTGTAGATTCTCTAGTTTCTGGTGGTGTCATATTGGTTTCTCTGTTGGTGGGTGTGGTTTTGTATTGTCTCCTTCTCATCATTTCTTCCTGTGGGTGCAGAAGGAGTCTCTTCCTTCCCTGGTGGGTATGTGACCATGGTTCCTTTCCAGTGGGTGGGAGCAGGTCCAGTACCCTGGTGGCTTTCCTCTTGCGTGAATGGAGGCCATCCTGGTATAGGGACCTTAGCAAACCCTGGGTAGGCTGGACCCTCACCTCCCCAGTCCCATGGGTGGAGAATGGGACTTGGAAGCTGGCAGTCTCTGGGCGGACTGAATCCCGTCAGGCTGGGATTCGGCTCTGCTGTGCGCAGTCCTCAGGTCTCTGGTGTTTCTGCCGATTTTATGATTCTTAGCAGTAGCAAAATCACAGTTATGAATCGTAGCAATGAAAATAATTTTACGGTTGGGGTCACCACAACATGAGGAGCTGTATTAAAGGGTTGCAGCACTAGGAAGGTTGAGGATCACTGCTCTAGACACTTTAGCATGCATGTGAAATTTCCACAGGTTTTATACATTCATGATGTTTGTAACACTTCACAGAAAATATGGAAACTAAGCTGAGAATGGAATCTGCTAAAAGTGTTCTTACCTAGAATGTGATTCCTAGCAGCTCAAAATAACAAGAAACAAAACAAAAAACATGTTGTGAGGTGGGTACTGGGGACAGCTTAAATTGATTCTGCACCTGCCTAGAAAAAGTAGAGCGCTGGGTTCGATTAGTACCACATAAACCAGACATAGTGGCTACATACCTGTAATTCCACCATTCAGGAAGTAGAGGCAAGAAGATCCGAAGTTCAAGGTCACCCTCAGCTGCACAGCAAGTTTGAGGTCAGTCTGAGATATTTGAAACCTTCGCTCATGAAAACAAACAGACAACAACAAAAGAACCATCAAAAAAACAAAACTGAGCACCCCTGCCGTGGTGGTCCACGCCTTTAATCCCAGCACTTGGGAGGCAGAGGCAGGCTGCTCTCCGTGAGTTCGAGGCCAGCCTGGTCTACAGAGCGAGTGCCAGGAGAGGCTCCAAAGCCACAGAGAAAGCCTGTCTCAGAAAACCAACAAAAAAGAAAAGATAAAACCCTTACATCTGTTGATTTCTTTTTACACTGTGACCGATTCCTTCATACTTTGGATGACTGCTGTTGCACTGACATAATTTTAAACTTTATAGTACAATGGTTTAATTCTTATTTTGAATAATCATATTTACTATTTAAAAAAACTTTGTGGGAAAATAGTATTTTAAGTTCCCCCAGATGTTTATCATCTCTTGGTGTTCTTGGAGACTCAAGATCCTGATGGATTTCCCTTTTTGGAATCTTTTACAGAATTTCCCCTCAGGTTCTAGTGAATGTGGTTCCCACACACTCTGCTGCCCAGTTGCTCTTAAATCAGAAATAGTTCCTGTTGGAACTTCAGCTGTCTTGTGCAGTACCAGCTGCAGCCTGCTCTTAGGCTAAAAGCCATCACAATGCCCTTTGCATGCCCACTCCCTGCAAAATCGTCCTCACTTTTTGCTCTACAGTGACTTCCCCTTCCCCCCTTACCTCTAGCTTACAGTTACAATGTTGTCAGCTAAATAGAAACTTCTTAAGGAAAGGGAATTGCTCATTTAAATAGGACATGAAGACTAACAGGGCAGAAGGAAACACTATAAATTAGACATAATTGATTCCAAAGTCCGCCAGCCACCTTTTCCCCCAGAGCCTCGGCATGTCACACCGATAAAAGCCTGAGATCTGCCTGTAAATATTTCATATGCATTAATCAAACAGAATTGTAAACACCAGGCAGTTGCTGAGTTCTGAGTCCTTCTCACCCTTTCAGCTTTCTCTCAGCATGCCCTGGACCTCATCATGATCCAGAACTGAAGAATTATACAGAGAACCTCAGAGAAGTCTCTGGACCCCACTTCAACACTGTGGCCTGACTCCTTTCTGGTTACTAGGGGCCCTGTTATCAGTTATTTGTGTTTTAAATATCACTGAGACACCTACATGCCACCAACAAAGTAATCGTCTAGAAAGGGATAAACAGAATTGTCTTAGTTAGGGTTACTATTGCTGTGATAAAACACCATGACTGAAGAAACTGGGGGAGAAAAGGGTTTGTTCAGCTTATATTTCCACATCACAGTCCACCATCAAAGGAAGTCAGGACAGGAATCCGACCATGGCAGAGACCATGGAGCGATGATGCTTACTAACTTGCTCCTCAGGGCTTGCTCAGCCTGCTTTCTTCTAGAACCCAGGACTATCAACCCAGGGATGGTCCCACCCACAATGGGCTGGGTCCTCCTCCATCAATCACTAATTAAGAAAATCCCCTGTAAGTTTGCCTACAACCCAGTCTTATAGAGGCATTTTCTTAATTGAGGTTCGCCTCTCTCTGATGACGTTAGCGTGTTTCAAGTTGACATAAAGCCAACCAGCACAAGAATATTCAGCCTGTGTGAAGCACACAGATCACCCTTCCAAATTCAGGGTTTCCTTAAAAGCCCATTATGTGCATGAATAAAACATTGGCTCTCTGGGTTCTTCCAAGGACCCAGACAAGCCCTACATTTCCTCTGCTACAAACGGAGCTTCTTATTTCAGCTTGTATTTGCCATGTCTTCTCTTGTGAGCACAAATTACATGTTTGCTGCCCCATCTTTTCCAGAAAACTGCTATCTGCCCCATGCAGTAGTCAATATCTTATAACTTCTTGCTGAGCAAAATATTTTTAAATGTCTTCAGACAAGCCCAACAAGAGGACACTCAACACATAAGTGCAATGTGTTTTGGAAAGTAACTGCAAAACGCAATGAGAAAGGACATATGTCCTTTAAAGAAATGTGAGTGTGTGTGAATATGACAATTTGAGCAAAATGAGGAAAAAGGAAAACCAGAACGAGCGGATCCTTCTGTCTCCATTACATGCTGCTGTCCTGCTCTGTCTTACTGGACACCACAGGAACAAGTGCTGTGGTCACAAGAACACAGAGTTTTTCCTTTAAGTCTTCTGGCAAACTGTATATGCTATATAAAGGTAACTAAATTCCAGCTGCATGTGTCGCTTCAAATATGGTAGGTTTCGCTGATACTACTAAAAGGCTCTTCTTTTCATGATATCTTGAAATTGTAGATGGATTCCTAAATTTTAATATGTATGTTGAGGAAAGCCTTCTAGGTAGTCATGATTCACTTTTTGATTAAGCCTTTCAGATGTTTCCATTCCAAAATGGCTGTGCATTTGAACCAAAGAACTGCTCACTGCTGCTGGGTCATAATTGCTTGGAAAAACACCCTTGAGAGATTTCATTTGAAAGCACACACTTTCCAAAATCATTTTCAATGTTTGAGGCTTGAAATAATGTCACTGAGTTGTGCATCTCACTTAGTGTCTTTAAACATATTTTGTTTAAGTTAGTTGGGAGGCCTGGGCAGTCTATGGGGCCTCTGGCAGTGGAACCAGTATTTATCCCTAGTGCATGAATGGGCTTTGGAAGCCCATTCCCTATGGAGGGATACTCTCTCAGCATGGATACACAGGGGAGGGCCTTGATCCTGCCCCAAATGATGGGAGGCCTCACCCTTCATGGGGAGTGGACAAGGGGTGGCATGGGGGCTGGGGGGAATCATGGGAGGATGTGAGGGAGAAGGAACTGGAAATGGTATGTAAAATAAGATTGTTTTTAATTTAAATAAAATTTTATTTAAAAAAAAGAATTAACCGACTTTATGCAGTTATAATAGTTTCTAGTGTACTATTTCAAAGTCCAACTCAAAGAAACACATCCTTCTCTTTTAGTGAGCTCTTGACGGTGACAGCGCTGTGGCTAACATGGCACCCAAAAAGAAGGCTATAAAGAAGAGCAAAGCGGAGGTCAACGAGATGACTATCATCGTGGAAGACAGCCCCCTGAACAAGCTCAATGCTCTAAACGGGCTCCTAGAGGGAGGCAACAGCCTTAGCTGTGTTTCTTCTGAACTAACAGACACTTCCTACGGCCCCAACCTCCTGGAAGGTTTAAGTAGAATGAGGCAAGAGAGCTTTCTGTGTGACTTAGTCATTGGTACCAAAACCAAGTCCTTTGATGTTCATAAATCAGTGATGGCTTCATGCAGTGAATACTTTTACAACATCCTGAAGAAGGATTCTTCAACGAAGAGGGTGGACCTCAACGATATTGCCCCTTTAGGCCTGGCCACAGTGATCGCCTATGCTTACACGGGAAGGCTGACGCTCTCTCTGTACACAATAGGGAGCATCGTCTCCGCTGCTGTGTACCTTCAGATCCACACTCTCGTGAAGATGTGCAGTGATTTTCTGATCCGAGAGATCAGTGTTGAGAACTGCATGTATGTGGTGAACATCGCCGAGACGTATTGCCTGAAAAACGCAAAGGCAATGGCCCAGAAATTTATCCGGGATAACTTCATCGAATTTGCAGAATCAGAGCAATTTATGAAGCTTACGTTTGAACAAATGAATGAGCTTCTCATAGACGATGACCTACAACTGCCTTCTGAGCTAGTAGCGTTCCAGATTGCAATGAAATGGCTGGAATTTGACCCAAAAAGGGTGAAACATGCAGCCGATCTTTTAAGTAACATTCGATTTGGTACCATTTCTGCACAAGACCTGGTCAATTACGTTCAAACCGTACCAAGAATGATGCAAGACGCTGACTGTCATAAACTGCTTGTGGATGCTATGAACTACCACCTACTGCCTTATCATCAAAACACGCTGCAATCTAGGCGAACAAGAATTAGAGGTGGCTGCCGAGTTCTCATCACTGTTGGGGGACGCCCTGGCCTGACCGAGAAGTCCCTTAGTAGAGACATTTTGTACAGAGACCCTGAAAATGGATGGAGCAAGCTTACAGAGATGCCAGCCAAGAGTTTTAACCAGTGTGTGGCTGTGATGGATGGATTCCTGTATGTGGCTGGTGGTGAGGACCAGAATGATGCAAGAAACCAAGCCAAGCATGCAGTCAGCAATTTCTGCAGGTACCCAGTGCTTTGTTGGTAATGCAAATGAATGGAGATGTGGAGAAACTGCCCTGGTCCAGAACTGATGCCTCTTATCTTAGTTCACTAGCCATATAGTGGTAGTGATGCTTTAGATATTTTCCACATTTCATATAAAGTGCATCCAAGACATATGCACCCTACATTTCTGTTTTTACTTTTTAATATTTTTTCAGTTAGCATACTAAGGGGACTAAGGGATGGGTTTCATTTTGATATTTTCATACTTAGATGCCATTGCACTTTCTTATGCATACCTCTTACCTACTCTCCTTCCCTGCTCCTGCCTCTCTCTTATTAGTTTCCTTGACGGTTCCCCCAGAATCTTCCATCTGCTTTCAAGTCACATGAACTCCATTATTACCCTGCCCTTAAAATCTCTTTCTCCCCTTTCATGGTCTCTGATCTATTTTCGTCATACATACACATCAAACATTACCAAGAGGCAACATTGTTATGATAATCTTTATTGTCTCATTATGTGTGTGTACCTACCATTTTCCAAGAATCCAAACAAAGCACTCTTTATATATATATGCATGTGTATGAATATATTTCATTTATATATAAATATATTCATTGGGGTTTATTATATGTTATATATAATTTTATATTTATATATAAATTTAATATATCAATATAATTAATATATTTTGTATGATAGCATATGTTTTAGGTAATATATAAGAATATATAATATATAATAAGATATGTATATATATATCTTTTAAAAATAATCCAAGCAATTGATTTTTAGACTTTCTCTACTTTTTCCATTCTGGGCCTTGAACCCAGTGCCTCACCTATGTCAAGCAGGCACGTGCCTCTGAGCCACAGCTTCAGCCCTTTGTTTGGGAGTGGAACGGGACAAAGGTGAACCGTGTTTACAGAACTTCTGCACAGGGCACCACGAGTTCACTGGCTCTGCTTCTTTCCCTTCTGCTGGGCTTCTCACGGTTTAGTACTCATCAGTTTTCTTTGTGTTGATCTATGTACTGAAAACACTATAGTACTAAAAAAAGAAAGTCTATGAACTGTAACTTTTTACCAGTAGACAACTATTGGGAGAGACCAAGCCTTTCTTGATGCTTTTAAGCATGATTACATTGGTCTCATTCTAGGGTGGTTTAGTTTCTATCAGTACAATGAATGGTCAGGCCAGACACGCTAAGAAGTTTGTAGAAGAAATTCAGCCAGGCAACTCCTATCCTAATTAAGCAGCAAGAAAGAGCTAGGGGTTATTGACGTCCGAAAAACAGGTAGAATCCCCAATGCACAGATTCTCTGTTCAGATACCCACTTTATCTATCCTATGAACCATTTTACAGTCTTCTTAAATCCCGGAAGGAGAGGTGTCGGTGTTAGAGGAAAGAGAGTTCTGTTGGATCACTTTTTGTTGTTTGTTTTGGTTTTTTGTTTGGGGGTATGGCTAAAGAAAACGTCTTCTGAATGGGGAGAAAGGGGAGTATCACATTCTTTTTTCTGAGTGAGAGGTGGAGGACCAATAGCTGTAATATCTAGGGGTGGTGGTAAGGCGAGGGTTCCCACTTACGCATTGCTTGACGACATGAGTTCCTCTGCTTAGGCGATCAAGCTGTCCTCTGTCATCTCAGGTACGATCCTCGCTTCAACACCTGGATCCACCTGGGCAGCATGAACCAGAAACGCACGCACTTCAGCCTGAGCGTGTTCAACGGACTCCTGTACGCGGTGGGCGGCCGCAACGCCGAGGGCAGCCTGGCTTCGCTGGAGTGCTACGTGCCCTCCACCAACCAGTGGCAGCCCAAGGCGCCGCTCGAGGTGGCACGCTGCTGCCACGCCAGCGCCGTGGCGGACGGCCGCGTGATCGTGACGGGTGGCTACATCGGTAGCGCGTACTCGCGCTCCGTGTGCGCCTACGACCCCGCACTCGACGCGTGGCAGGAGCTGCCCGAGCTGAGCACGCCGCGAGGCTGGCACTGCGCGGTGGCGTTGGGCGACAGGGTGTACGTGATGGGGGGCAGCCAGCTGGGGCCGCGCGGGGAGCGCGTGGACGTGCTCACGGTGGAGAGCTTCAGCCCCGCAGCGCGCCAGTGGAGCTTCGTGGCCCCGCTGCCCGTGGGTGTGAGCACGGCGGGGGTCTCGGCGCTGCACGGGCGCGCGTACCTGCTGGGCGGCTGGAATGAGGGCGAGAAGAAGTACAAGAAATGTATCCAGTGCTTCAACCCTGAGCTCAACGAGTGGACGGAGGACGACGAGCTGCCCGAGGCCACCGTGGGCGTGTCCTGCTGCACACTGGCCATGCCCAACAGTGTGTCCCGCGAGTCACGGGCCAGCTCGGTGTCCTCCGTGCCGGTCAGTATCTGAACGCATTGCTTCCCAGAGGTCTGTGGTCAAACTGCAAGTGGGCCACAAGGAAAATATACACCGTTTACTACAGTGATGGTAATTCAGATCGATCTAGAGGGATGTCTGGGCGGCTCTAAATTCGTAGTTTGGCATCATCTACCTCAGGTTTTCCCCCACCTCCCACCAACAAAATAAAGGGCTGTAGGCGACAAAAGAAGCAATTTCATTCTGCAACCACTGGATGGCAAACGGCACTCTTCCAAGGAGGCGTGCTTCCTAAATTCATAGCAGTTACTCGCTGAGATTTTTCTTTCCTACACTGTACACGTGAACTTACGTGGCTATGCAATTTCCTATTCAGAGGTGTATTTTCCTCTCTGTTTCTGTTGCGGGGATTGAAAATACTCATTTCACATTTTCAAATGAAAATAGTCTGTATCTATAAAGACTTAATTTTTTATTTCAAAATAAAAATGTATTTCCCCCTACTATTAAAGACATCTTTTAAAGATATAGTATGATATAGTCCACAAAGCTTTAAATAAGCTGTGGCCGGAAAGCAACACATTCTACTGGAAAAACGATATGGTGACAGTTTGGGGTAATGACGTGTACCCTCATCCTTCTGGAAGCTAAGATCTTTTTCTATCATAAAAAAGGAACGATTTTCATTCATTTAACTTATAGTGTAAATTTAAGCCGTTTGGCATTTTCTTATAAGTAATTTTTTATCGCTTATACTTACATATTGAGAGGCCTTTTTTTGTACTGGATGATGAACCAAGGACCTCGTGCACGCTAAATAAGTGCTCTACCAGCACATCTCCAGTCTTCATTTCATTTTATTTTTTTGAGATAGAATCTCACTGGGTAGACCAGGCTAGCCTCAGACTCCCAGAGATCAGCCTGCCTCAATCTCCTGAGAGCTGAGATTAAAGGCGTGTGCCACCACTCCCAGCCCTCTTTTTTATTTTAAAGTAGGGTTTTACTAGGTTACCTAGGTTAGCCTTGAACTTAAAATCTTCCTGCTCCAGTGTCCCCAGTAGCTGAGATTACAGACCTGTACCACTAGGTACAGCTCTCCCCTACACTGATATGGATAAATTGCTTCTAACATTAGCCCAGATAATCACCAAATAACATTACGGTCTTGAATATCATTAACTTTGGCTTATCTTTCTGGCTTTACAGCCAATAGCAGTAACTTTACTGGCCCACACTTTCACACGGTGATGATGAAAGAAATATTGGGATGCTCATATTTGGCAATAACTTGATGAGTGCATGGGTTCACCTGTTGAGGAATGTGGTTTGCTTCTCCTGATACCTAACTTAAAGTATTAAGTCAATAATATATGTTCTTTATAATTTACTTTTGTTACTATCACTCCAAATTGCTTTGCAAATCAAAGTGTATCTGTTTTGTTTTTTGAGTCAGGTTCTGTGTGTAGTTATGGCTGTCCAAGAAATAAGAAATCATTAGGTAGACCAAGCTGGCCTCAAACTCGCTGAGATTCGCTCATCTCTACCTCCTGGGTGCTGGGATTAAAGACATGTCACACCAGGCCTGGTAAAGTATATTTTACTGTTGCCATTTCCCTGGCTTATCTGCCAAGTTTGGGGGAGTAGGGAAGGACTGTAGTAAATGATACATAGTTTCTTTTAACATATCAGTTTATTCTTTGTGGTATATTTTTTGTGGGAAGGAAGTGCCTATTGACTATGGGTTATGTAAAATTAGACAATTTAAAGGGATAACTAGGTATCTAGAACCATATCTTGGTTGTCATTAATCCCAGCCCTTCCTACTACCTGTATGCAGAGTTGTCATGGATATGTCTAAGCACAATCATCTCTCCTTGTCTTTGGGCTACACATCTGTGGGTGCAGCCAGCCACAAAATTGAATATGTAGAAATAGCTTTTCCCTTTTCTTTTCTTCCCAGAGCAATACAGCACAACAGTTTACATAGCAAATACGATGTATTAGATATTATAATGACCTAGAAACAATATAAATTTTAGAATATGTGAGCAGGTTTTATGCAAATACTATGTCATTTTGTAGATGGGACATGAACATCAAGGCACTGGTATCCTAGCAAGGGGTAGGGCATGTCCTGGTACCAGTCTCCCAAGGATACTAAGGGAAAAATGTGAAAAGTGGTTTTTTGAAACAACCTTCCTCATCATCCCTTATGAAAAGTTCAGTTTGGTGTATTCAGTGCTAACACTCAGAAGTAGAGTATAAACACTAGAAATAAGTAAGACACCACTAGCATAAAAATACTGAAAGAAAGAGAGTTTCATCAAATACAGGGAAAATCTAAAGGAGCCTGCTCTTTAGGCTCCATGACTACGCAGGCTGGAAAACAAAACTGTGAGAAATGGCTTTTGGACCAAGTTAATCACTGGCTGAGCCCCTAAATTATCAGCAATGGTAAAATATACTCAATTTTTTATTTATTTAAATTAGAAACAACCTTGCTTCACATGTCAATCCCAGATCCCTCTCCCTCCCCTCCTCCCCACCAAGTCCCCACTCCATTCCCCAGGGAGGGTGAGGCCCTCCATGGGGATATCCAAAGTCTGTCATATCATCCCAGGCAGGGCCTAGGCCCTCCCCCATGTGTCCAGGCTGAGAGAGCATCCCTCCATGTGCAATGGGCTCCCAAAGTCCATTCAGATGCCAGGGATAAATACTGATCTACTATCTGAGGCCCCATAGATTACTGAGGCCTCCTCACTGACACCCATTTCAGGGGGTCTGGATCAGTCCCATGCTGGTCTCTCAGCCATCATTCTGGGGTCCATGAGCTCCCCCTTGTTCAGGTTTGCTGTTTCTGTGGATTTTGCCAGCCCAGTCTTGACCTCTTTGCTCATCAGTCCTCCCTCTTTGCAACGGGATTCCAGGAGTTGAGTTCAGTGTTTAGCTGTGGGTGTCTGCCTCTGCTTCCATCAGCCACTGGATGAGGACTCTAGGATGGCATACAATGTAGTCGTCTATCTCATTTTCGGGGAAAGACATTTAAGGTAGCCTCTCCACTATTGCTTAGATTGCCAGTTGGTGTCATCCTTGAAGATCTCTGGAAATCTCACTAGTGCCAGATCTCTCCTCAAATCTATAATGACTCCCTCTATTATGGTATCTCTATTCTTCCCCAGACTCAACCTTTCTGCTCCCCATATCCTCCTCTCTCCCCCTCATCTCCCCCTGCCTTTCTCCCAGCTCCCTCTCTCCTCCCACCATGCTCCCCATCTGCTCAGGAGATCTTGTCCGATTCACCTTCTCTGGGGTACTATGCATATCTCTCTTAGGGTCCTCCCTGTTTCCCAGACTCTCTGGCAGTGGGATTGTAGGCTGGCACTCCCCTGCTCTATGTCTAAAATCCATATATGAGTGAATACATACCATGTGTGTCTTTTTGTGACTAGGTTATCTCACTCAGGATGGTTTCTTCTAGTGTCTTCCATTTGCCTGCAAATTTCAAAATTCCATTGTTCCTCCCCCATGAGTAGTACTCCATTGTGTAAATGTACCACATTTTCTCAATCCACTCTTCAGTTGTGGGGCATCTAAGTTGCTTCCAGGATCTAACTATTACATATAATGCTGCTATGAACATAGTGGAACAGATATCCTTGTTGTGTGAATGGACATCTTTTGGGTATATGCCTAAGAATGGAATTGCTGGATCTTGTGGTAGACTGATTCCCGTTTTCCTGAGGAATCTCCATACTGATTTCCAAAGTGGCTGTACGAGTTGGCACTCCCACCAGCAGTGGAGGAGTGTTCCCCTTTCTCCACATCCTCTCCAGCATAAACTGTCATTGTTGTTTTTTATTTTAGTCATTCTGACAGGAATGAGATGGTATCTCAAAGTTGTTTTAATTTGTATTTTTCTGACAGCTAAGGATGTTGAGCACTTTCTCAATTGTCTCTCAGCCATTTTAGACTCCTCTATTGAGAATTCTCTATTTAGTTCTGTACCCCACTTTTCAATTGGAACCTTTGGTGTTTTGGAGACTTGCTTCTTGAGTTCTTTGTAAATTTTGGAGATCAGCCTCTGTCAGATGTGGAGTTAGTGAATATCTTTTCCCATTCTGCGGGCTGCCTTTTTGTCTTGTTAACTGTGTCTTTTGCCTTACAGAAGCTTCTGAGTTTCAGGAGGTCCCATTTATTAATTGTAGATCTCAGTGTCTGTACTACTGGTTTTATGTTCAGGAAGCTGTCTGTACCAATTCGTTCAAGGGTTTAGTGTGGCTGGATTTATATTGAGGTCTTTGATCCATTTGGACTTAAGTTTTGTGCATGATGATAGATCTGGGTCTATCTACAATCTTCTATTGCATTTTTAGTGCATCCTTCTTACCAAGCATCTTTCCCAGGAGACATATACATACCCCTGCAACCGAAAAGCTTGCAGTGTGTTGTTAATTTTGAGAGAGAAGGTTACAGATAATTGAACGAACAGATGTCATTTATTTATGCACACTTTGAGAATGTAGAGGTATGTAAAGAAAAGGGCCTACGTCTCCAGATGAAGTAAAAATTAATGCTATGTAAGATCTTAGGATTTAAAACATGAAGAGAGAGAGTTAAAGTAGAGGGCTCTTCATCTGTTGCAGCTGCTACAGTAGGCTGTAAAGCCCAGGCAGTTGCTTTTTAGAGCTAAACTGCAGGCCTAGTACAGCCGGGTAAATTACAATCACTGTTTAACTTTTCTATGCTGTTAATCTGAAGACTCAGAAAATACATGTAACTGGGCTTACCAGGCCCTGGGTGCTTTGGGGTTGACAGAGTATGGTATGTGAACATTTGAACCCCTGAATATCCTGCGCCACCATTAAAGACACAAACATACATAGACAACTCTAAACGTTCTGTGTCACCTTCAGTGTCTTTAATTTATCTCAAAGTTGCTGCTCCTGGAACACACAGTTCACTTTCCAACTGCAAACTTGACCTCGTTTTATTGTGGTTTGTCTTTACATCCATCGATTACCAATTACACCCCCATGTTAGGACCCGAACATGAACTTGTGTTTAGTTTTCTCATAGAAAATGGCTTGTGATTTGTTTTTAATGCCTGAGTTCTGTGATTAAATAAATGCTCCGCTAACAGAAAAGAGCCTGTTACCCAGCAACAAAAACAGTCAGTCTCAAGCTGCCTTTTTCTGAATGGGCTGGAGACCTGCTGAGAGTGTCTCCAGGAACCCGGATCTTAATAGAGTGTGTCCATCTTCTCAGGGCTCCAAGGCCAAGCTGTGATCTGTAACTCACCAGATAATTTCAGCACACTGAGTGCATGTTATTTTTACTTCCTGTTGTGAAGATGGTCACACATAGAAGGTCCATGCTGGGCAGTTTAACACAGTTCTCTAGAATGACTGGATGGTGAGGACTTGAGGAAGCATCATAGCTGAGGTAATAAGGAAGTGAGTCCTGACAGGTTCTAAGCTTTAAGACGGGGTGGTAATGATACTATGTGTGTTTTACAACGTGTGTGTAAACAGAAGTTAGCTGGAAGTAGGAGGTAGGTCTCCCCAACTCCTGCTCCTATCATCCTGACCACATGTTTTCAGAACTCAACTAAAGTCGTTTCATTGATTTATTTTCCCTAGTTATAACCGAATGAACCTTTGTCATCTCTGAGTGAGTGGTGGACCCCTGCCCCAGTGGTGATGACTGTGTTCTTGGCACAAGACAGTGATGAAAAGAATTCTTTTCATGTCAATAAAAAAAATTATACCGAATACTTTCCATTGTTAATTACTAGAACTAGAAGATGTAAAGTATTAACAATTTAGCCTGTAACATACCATTGAGCATTGCCTCTCAGGGAGTCTGGCACAAAAAATAATTATCCAGGACACTCCTAAAAATGTTTGTTGATGCTTATCTAGCAAATTTTGGTAGAAATCTTGTTGGCTTAAAATATTCTGGTTTTCTATAAAGAACAACAAAGAAAACTGTGGTGTTATTTTGTAACCTCATCACTGTTAATAAAGCTGCAAACAAAAAGTTTAATGCTCACCTGTAGGCAGTTTTGTGCATTTCTTTGATGATTGAACTGTTTGGGGTTATTATTATTATTGTTGTTTAGTTGTTTCTATTCAGTAAAGCAAAATAATAGTAGCAAAATAGAAACGATCATTGAAAAGTGTTACATAGCTTGGAATCTGATAAAAGAAGGAAGCAAAAAATAGCACTAGTGGCCAGACAGTAACCAACTGTTGTCACCCAGCCCTGATGTTCAGAAGTTAGATTGAGTGTATCTTCTCATCCATGTCTACTTGTTAAACCTGAGAATGATGAGGAGAAAAGATAAAATCCATGATTGTCTAAAATCAAGCTGTACTTTAGGGTGCACCCGGGACTGGTCCGACTGCCTCACCCTTAGAAGGAATTTGAGAGAGCAGCCCCTGCTGGCCTCTTGAGGTCCTTTTTGTAGAAGAGATAAGGTGTTCACAGGGGTGAGAGAGTCAGCTGTTACACACTGTTAGAAAAATACAATGAAAGGGAAGGAACAAGGGTAAGGATCTGTATCATGTGAATGGGGTCACAAGTTTCGTTGAAAAACTTGTTTTGCAGTTTGCATCAGATTGAAGAAACAGAAACTTATTCTAAACTACAAATAGAAACATTAACTTGCAAGGACTTAGCCCAGGACAAACAGGAACTTATTCTTAACAGTCTTAACTTCAAACAGAAACCTTACCCTGCAAGGTATATTGTTCCTGTTTTGGTCTCACATTCCCCTCCCGAGTTGTATCCTGGGTCAAATCTTTCACTCTGTACTGGGTATCTGGTTTTTCTCATAGCCATCAACTTAATGGCACCCATATAGGAATTTACACATCTAACTAAGGCATTAATGATGCAAGGACCAGCAGTAATTAGCAGAAACAGAAGGGCCAAAGATCTTGCGATGGCTGACATCAGTTACTATCTAGGAGGAGTCCCAAAATGAGAATGGGCACTAGTCATTTATTTCATCTTAGGTCCCCCCTTTTTTGCAATGTTTCTGTGAGTGCAGACAGATTATCTGTAATGATTCCCAGGTGGTTTGTATAGGAACAACAATTTTCTCTTAAAGTCATATAATACCTCCTTGTTCTACATAGAGCAGGCCAAGTGTCCTATCATTTTGTAGAACTACTTCAGCTAATGAATCTAATGATAGAGCTGGGCCTATTTGGTCTTAACAGGTACCTTTCCTAGATTGCCAACAGGCAGTGTAGGTAGAAATTTTGTCTTCTATGCCATAGTTTCCTTTTGATCTAACATTCCATCTTGTTGGGGACAAGGGATAACATACTCTCTTCTATAACTAGTTCCTACTGAAACTAGGACGTCTTTGTCAGGATCCAGGAAGTCTCGAATGCTAGTCTAAGGTCAAGAAGGGATTTAGGAATGGGGCATGCATCAGAAGCATCTAGCTAGCTGACCCAGTTGAAGAGTCAGGGAGCAATCACCTTGGCTGGACTGGTTCACATCAGCTTTCCGCAAGTCCATAACTCACAACTGTTTAGAGCAGTTTGTAGTCCACAGCTAATTTCTGGATAGTGTTTGTCAGCCAAGTAGAAATCTGCTTAGAGAGATATAGACTAGGGACAGAAGTTAAAGTTTAGGAACTTAAAGGAAGACCTTACATTTGACACTTTCAGGCCCATAGTCCTAGTGATTGTGGGATGTGAGGAGTCCCAAGACCAGGAGAGAGATCACATCCTCGGGGATAGGCAGGTGGGGAAACATAGGCTTTACTTAACTGGAGTCCCTTTGACCTGTAAGAGGTGCACTCAAGTCTTATGACTTCTTCAATTCCCTGAAGCTTACATGAATTTTTTAGTTTAAAAAAAGGGATAAAAACGTCATATATAGTAGCATTGCCACTGTTTGTAATCTGTAGAAAATGCAACTAACAGGTATCTGTAAGAAGTCTCAGTATAACAATAGCATAGATGGGGAAAAGAAGCCTGAAACATTTCCCATTTTCACACACCTTAAATCATTTTCTTATACCCTCAGAACTTAACTAAGCTTTTATATCCTCAAACCCTTATACACCTTAGAACACTTTATTAGACCATCAGAACTCGTACAAACATTAAACCTTTTTCTATCCATCTAATCATTTATCAAAGACACGAGTAATTATTACTGAGAACCGTCATTGCAAAGCAAGTTCTTTTAAATAAAGGAACAACAGCAAAAAGTTACATCTGAGACCTGTTTACCTTTTAATATGAAACCTGTTAGGAAGGCAACCCCGTCTGCCTTTCTCAGAAGGAGACCCAGTAGCTCTAGGAAAGACAAGACCTTATTTTTTACATATGAAATGAACTAACAAGGTGGGTGCAGCCTTGGGGAAGGGCACTGGTTGCATGCTGCCATTAAGCCAACAAAGCTAGTTAGCCTAGCTATCAGTGTCATCACAGATCAGAGAAGGAGAAATTGTAGCAGAATGTATATCTATTAAAATGACAGAGACTTACCCATTGTAAGTAACTTGACCCAAGCTTACTTACTGGGCCAAGGTCACCTGATATGGCCATAGGAATTAAATCGGGCTGGGTTTAGGGGCCACAGCACAACTGAGCCTATGACAATTATTATTCAGACCAATCAGACTTTTTATACTTATAACAGAAACAGAATGTAATGGTAATTTCCAGGATCAATACACTTGTAGTTGCCAGGATACAGTGAAGTTTGCAAGTCATACAGGGTACACAAGATTAATGTCTAAGAGCAATTGTCCTGTCAAGCCTTCTTGTTTCATTGACTACTAAGGGAACATACACAGAGACGCAAAGCTTCCTGAATGCTTCATTCCCCGAGGGAGTGCATCCGTCTCTCAGAAACTGGAAGGCACAATGTGCCCCAGGAGCCAGGGACTATAACCTGAAAAATCTATGACACATTCCTCTCAAGGTAGCTAGGCCAAGCAAACTCCACGGTTCCCTGCAACCCATTACCTAGGCAGTTATCCTAGTCCCCTGTGATCTCAATGGCTTCATTAGAGGCAGAGGTCCAGGACAGCATCAGCCTCGGCCCAGCAGATCTGAAAGATCTTCCTGTGGAGGAAGAAGTTATGGGAGTGATCTTACTTTGTCTAGGTGTCCTGCTTGTTCACAGTTTGGGCCGGACCCTGGCTGCGGATGAGGCATTGGGGTAGTTTTTCCCAGTGGTTAGTGTTACCACATTCAGGTGGTGTTATCATGCCCTATCATCTTCTTTAGAGACATCAGGGTCACTGTTGGGAGGTAGGGTCTCTGTCATAGTAAGCTTTTTCCATTAATCATTTTGAATGTCCAATTCAGCAGATTTCTGACAAGTTTGAGGACCATTATTTATTAAGTGTATATGAGCTAAACAAACTTTGCTGGCTTTTAGCTACTTGATTTAGGCTTAACCTTGAAAACACTTACAGGTTTCTATTCCTGTGAAGAGACACTATGAGCACAGCAACTCTTATGAAGGGAAACATTTAATTGGGGTGACTTACAGTTCAGCAGTTCAGTTTATTATCATCATGACAGGAACCACAGCAGCATGCAGGCAGACGTACTAGAGAAGGATCTGAGAGCTCTATATCTTGATCTGCAGGCAGCGAGACTGTGTATCACACTGGGCATCGCTTGAGCATATGAAACCTCAAAGCCCACCTCCACAGTGACCCACTTCCTCCAACAAGGCCACACCTCCTGATAGTGCCACTCCCTATGGGCTAAGCTTTCATACACACTGTCTATGGGGGCCACACCTATTCAAACCACCATAGTAAATAAAGCCTACTTCTGTAGTTAATCAAGTTAGTCCTTGACATGTCTACAAATGTTATTTTGAACACATTAAATAAGCTTTTGTATCCCCTCCGCACTGACAGATACTTCAGTAAGAATATCATCAATAAGAGTCAACAACCCCGGGCCTCTTCCTCTGGCTCTTGCTACTCTGAGTCACAGTTAGGTCTTCACCGACAGACCCACACTGAAGCTTTCTGTTTCCTTCCATCTAGGGTTATCTCCACTCCCAGCTAAATGGGAAAGCCGAGAAAAATCTATTTCTGCTAGGTTGGGTGTGGAGATCATCTATATCTAATCTACTCAAATCTCTCTATCCCATGGGCCCTACCTAGGGGCAAGTGTGGTTGGAAAAAAGTCTTGTGGCTGTAGCTAGAAAGCCTTCAGGAAGAATCAGGTTTCATGGTCTGTATGAAATGAATGGGCACCCACCTTCCCCGTGGTTAGCAACAGGAACAATAACTTTTGGGTCTACACAGCTCCCATTCGGCTCTGCTGAGACTGTGAGAGAGGCCCCTCTGTGTCATAAGCTGTTCCCTCAGCTTCCCAATACTACCTTGTTCTTCTCCTTTAGGTATTTTTTCACCCTAGAATCCTTACAGGTAGGTCTAGAGCAGGCATGAAATTTATTCTGTAAGCCTTCAGTGTTTGCACAAATCTAGGTCCCACAGACCATCAAGAAGCATCTCCTGTTTGTAAAATGCCCTCGTCACTGTTACCAGCCTGGGTCTCCACTTCCCTTTCCATCTATAATTTTGATATTACTTCTATCATAAGGTTTAGTGCACACTGTATTCCTGTGACTTAATGCTACTCATTCCATCAGTATGAGGAATTCTCCGTATCTGACAATCTGGGGGGAAAGAGCATATATACAGAAAGTTTAAAAGAGGACTTGTATGCATCTATTCTTAGCTGCTCTTGTGAGGAATCTGGGGGTAATGAGAAGAACAATAAGATGGCTGTAGTCTGTCCACACAAGTCTTATTCCCTAGCCTTAATCTCGTTAGCACAAGAGTTTCGAGTTGAGAAATGTCTTATGGCATGTTTGTAGCCAAGGAAACCATGTATTCTAGAGTGATTCTTTCCATTGTTTAGCAAATATTCACTGGGCACAGCCAGGCATCAATCTGAAGCTAGAATACTCTCATGAACAAGCCTCTGCTTCCTCGGGGACAGTGAAGAGCAGGAACCTTCCAGGAGGTGGCTCTGTTGCCCAGAACACACTCATTAGATGAGGAAAGCCAACTCTACAAAGAGCAATTAAATTAACAAGCACACATTTTGGCAAGCTCTGCTCTCTAGGTCTCTCCCAGAGGAGAGAAAGGTAAATTCACCCCTGTGTCTGCCCTCAGAGGGATCGGAATTAGTCGAGGTTTTCTAGCTGACTCCATTCATTGGTTATTTCTCTACATCACGCACCCAATCACACCATCTCAGCTCAGGGACTACATCATGCAGGCTGACTCTCTGGTCAGTTTGTATGAGTCTGTAAGAGGCAGAAGCAAGTGATCAGATGTGGTTGTTCTCTGTTTCTTTCCAGCCATCTCTTGGCTTCAGCACTGTGCCTCTTCTAGCCTGGATTCCAGCTCTCCCCAGCTCCTGCCAGGGGCTGCTTTCCCTGTCTGCAACTTGTAATGTACTCACATCACCAATAATAGTCTACCACCATGGCCGATTTTCTTGTTGGGTTATGTTCTGCCATCCCATTAAGAAAATTCATCTTAAGAGACAAGGTCTTGTCCACCTAATTCACTGCTATGCTTCCAGTGTTTAGAACAATGTCTGGTGTATAACAGAAGTCACTTGTTTTGAGTGAGTAAATGAAGACAGCAGTAAGTCGTCATGACCTACTGCTCATTGATTTCTATTCCAGCATTACTCATTCACTTAATCAACAGGCTTGCTGAGTGTCTACCACATGCAAAGCACCTCTCCTCACCCCAGGAATCATTAGAAATGAGAACAATCAAATCATAACCATGATAACTAAGGCTTTATCCAAACTAACTGAAGGTCAAGAACTAAATTGCTTGGAAACATTATAGGTAAAGGGGTTAGGCAATAAAATCTTTACTATTTACTTCTTTATTAAGCAACTTTACAAGATTGATATCTCTATGACTATTTTCTCATTATTTTTAATTATAGCTTTCTCCCTACAACTGCCAAATATTCTAAAACATGCTAGAACTGGTTTCACTGTTTAGCTGGTGATCACTCAGTACTCACTTTCTATACATTCATGCACATATATGGATATACACATAACCATCATTTGATAGTGTAATTGTATGTGTGTTTGTGTTTCTATGTATTTATATGCATGAGGCAGCTACATATTTGTATTTTGGGATTAATAGTCCTTCTTGTTCTACTACCCTAAAAGAGAGCTAAAGCAGCTAACAGGTAATGTTCTACTCCTGATGATGTAGAGAAACCTGAGAAGTTTGGGTTTACACATAGACACTCATAGGACATTTCTGTCTCAAGAATCAGAGAAAGAACACCTCCTAGGAGAAGGACATTTTGCACCCAAACCCTGGTGCAAAGCGCAGACAAATCTCCATTAGTGGCTTTGTCATTTCCTTCATGGAAAAGATATTAAGGACAAACCACTCGTGGCAAAGCCCTGAATGACAGAACACTGAAGCTCTTATGCCCAAGTCACAGTATATTAGGAAGTGGGGTATCATGTAAGGAAATAAAAAAGTGTCAAACTCTGCTGTAGGAATGCCCAGCTCTGATATCAGAGGTCTTCCCAGGGGCATCCTTCTGAACGAATCTGGCCCCAGGATGACCTTAGGAACCAAATGCAGAAAATAGCCAGGCTGTGAATGGAGTTGTCGTTGATGGCTCACCCAGGGATGCTTGTTTTGGAAAGAGAAAAAGTGGTTCCAACAAAAACCTATGGAAAGCCTCGATGTTCCTATTGAGTTATTCATTTGATTTTTTTCAAATGGGTAGGGACATTTGAAAAAATCATGCTCAATAATTTCTGTATCCTATGACAGTTATTAGAAATCAGCAAAAGTAAAATACACACACACACACACACACACACACACACACAGTCTCTATGGTCCTAGTATTTGGGAAGCTGAATTCAAGGCCAGCCTGGGATTCATACTAAGTTTAAGGCAAGTCTGGGCTAGATAGAGAAATCTTATCTCAAAACAAATTAAATTAATATTTACCTACATAAAATTTCATTCATTTAAAAATATGCATATGAATTTTTAAAGAACCCTAACCAACAAAATCTTCAGCTAAATTTTGCTATATTTTTAATTAGGATAAGCCTAAAGGCATTAACTAATGGAGTTGGTATTTTGCAATCATTTGTTTCACATTTTAGAAGTTTATCCAAAACTCTGTTATTTAGTTTATTTTTGCTATGTATTTCCAAGTTGTTTGCATTGGAAATAAAATTACATATATATGTGTATGTACATATATGTGTATATGCACATATATATAACATATGGAAATCTATGAGCTTATGCATTTGGATATATTTGGAAAAATAATCTTAAGAACTATAATTCTATTACATCTCAATAGCAGAAAATGCAGCACTAATTAAATCACAACAGTTCAAACAATAAAGACATCAGTCCAAATAGCTTGAAAGGAAAGAAGATGCATGCAAGTTGCCTGAAGCCATGGGTGTGACAAATTACAGAAAAATGCATACTTACTTTCTGAATTCTTATGTCTAGCAACATTCCAGGTATGGGGGAGCAAAGATGAGTAGACCATGTCTCACCATCCCTAGGGGTAGAGGGAAATGAGGCAGGAAAGACAGGCAAACAAATTATAGCTGTATGATGTAATCGCTGTAATTATGGTGGTATGTGCAGGATCTCATGGGATTGCTGCTAAATGGATGACAACTTTTATTGAGAGAGGTCAAAACAAAGGAGGGAGCCTCAAGCTGAATTTTTTGTTTCTTTTTTATTTTTTTGTAATTGAAAAAAATTTCAAACAATGTATTCTGATCATGCCCTTCCCCTCCCCCAAAGTCCTCCCACAATGCTCGGAAATTCAGCATTATTGGGAGTCACATGGTATGAAATCTTCAATGTAGCAAGGACTGGTACCTATCTGCCTCTTCTGTGGTCCTTGGAAATCAGTCTAAAATGGGAGATGAAAAACTAGAATTGATAAACAAAGCTTCTGAACTTCAGTTTCTACAATTGTAAGAATCACTATCAATTATAACTACCCTACTTATTTCATCAAATGTTTACAAATCTAAGATTGAGCAACATGCAGGGAAACATTTTGAAAACACGAATCTACTCTATGCATTTGTGAAGATCATGACATTTCTATGTCAAGTTACCTATAGCCAATATTAGTTACCACTGTGCGTTAAAAGGAGACATCAGAGAGACATCAGAAATACGTGGCTTCTCGAATTCTGTGACACAGTTCTTCTCAAGCTTTACGTGTCTGTTCTCTCTTTGATTTCCTAACGTCTTAGATGGAAAAACCTGGGCATGTTGTGTTACCCCAGACAAGCAAAAGAATGAAGATGAAAAGCCAAATAAATAGAGACAAATTGGAAGGTGAACTTGTTCCTCCCGATCACATTCCTTATGACACAGAGTACACAGAACACAAGAAAGGAATGAGAGAGGTGAGGCACTCTCTAACAAATATTCTAGTAACCACCCAGAACAGGTAAGGATACATTCTATTTGCATGATCAACAGTAAAGTTCATCTTTCCCAATATTCCACTGAGGGAGGGGTCATGTCTTTAAAGCTCAAAGCAGAAGAAGGCCCTGCCTGCCTGCACACTTCCTGTGTTCCCAGCTCATCAAAGTGCATTGTAGCTAAGGCCTGCTATCTTAGAGGCTTGCTGTCCAGTCTAGGGATTCTAGGGATACCTGTCTCCACCCAAGCAACTACCTCTCATCTTTAATCCAAGCTCAACCAACACATTCTGCCAGAAGTGTCCATTTTTTTAAGTCACCCTGATTAGACTTGTAAATAAGAATCTAGGTCCCAAAAACAATCTGCCTTCATCCAAATCTCAGACCCACTGCTACTTGGCAACCTCTCAGCCTCTGAGCTCTTAGCTATAAATGAAAGGCTATCTTGGTGGTGTTAATAACACTTGTTACTTAGAAACATTAATATCAAGTTCTATGGTTTGAATGACTGTGGAAGCTTGACTTTTGGGATGGAGGTGTTGGGAAGCATTGGAACCTTTCAAAGATGATGTCTAGTGGGAGATCCTTAGGTTATTGGAACTCCATCTCCAAAGGAAATTTTAGTTCTGGCTCGCTGTTACATGTGTATACTCCAAGCACACAAGAGCCCAAGGCAGAAAGGTTATACAAGTTTGATGGCTACCTAGACTACCTAGGGAGTTTGAGGCCTGAATTACATCATTACACACTGTTTCAACAATGTGGTGTGTGCAGAGGGAGGTAGTTATAAAGCCCTGACTTTCAGCTTCTTTCAGGATTTGATGGAAATGTTTTGTTCACCACAAGTCCCCACTATTATGGGTTGCACTTTAGGGGCCAACGGGATGGGTCTGCCTGGTCTTGAACTGAAACTTTCAAAATATTAGCCAAAGTATATATATATATTTTATTATAAAGCTGACAAAAAAATGGTAACAAGTGGTGAGGCCATTGCTGAATATGTAAGTGTGGAAGAGCATTTGGAAGTGGCTTGTGGGAATTTGTAACAGCATGGGGGATCTGTTTGGCCCCTCCAGGGAGCTTAGCAGGCAGTTCTAAAGAGGGCTCCCGTCAGAGTGCTGACAGAAATGTGAACATCCAAGTCCATGTTGATTGGGTTTGCATGGAAATGCACACTCTAGTGGGAGCTGGACCTACAGCCACGCTGATAGTACTATGGCTAATAATTTGGCTTCTTGTCCAGACCCAAGACCTTGTGAAAGACAAACCTTCAGAGTGATTAACTAGCTTACTGGAAACCGGGGATTTTAAGAAAGTAAGCATTTGATCTGTGAGAAGAGTGTTACTGGCTGCTGTTGGTCTCACTTACACTACGAGGAGCAAAACGGAGGAGAGTGAAAAGGTTTGAAAACTTCTCAGATACACATGTGAAGACACAACTAAAGACGGTAGAAAAGGATTAGCACTGACAAAAAGAAACCAGAAGCCTAGTGTGTTAGTTGCTTTTTGCTGCTGTGATAAAACGCGATGACCAGAAATGACTTCTAGAGGAAAGCATTCATTTTGGCTTAAAGATGCAGAGAGAAAGTCCACAGCGGTGGGGAAGGCGTGGCAACAGGTGACCGAAGCAGGAAGCTGAGAGACCTCAGCTCCGTTCACACAAAGAAAGCAAGGGAGTGAACTGGATGTAGAGGAGGCTACAAATTCTGAAGCCAGGCCTCAGTGACACACTTGCTCCTAAAGGTTTCCAAACATCTCCAAACAGGGCCACCAACTGGGGAACAAATTTCAAATAGTTGAGCCTGGGAGGGACAGTGCACACTCAAACAACTAAACAAGCAATATCACTGTCTTGGCCACGAAGAGACACCATGACCAAGGCAACTCTTGTGAAAGAAGAGTTAACTGGGGCCTTGTTTACCATTCCAGAGGCTTAGTCCATTGTCTTCACGGCATGGGTAATGGCAGCACACACGGCGGCGCTGGAGCAGTAGCTGAGAGCTATGTCTGATCCACAGACTAGGAGTGTGATGCTGGGCTTAACTTGAGCTTTTGAAACCTTAAAGCCCTCCAGCAAGGCCACACCTCCTGTTTCTTCCTCTACTTCCTTCTAATAGTACACTCCCCAATGATTATACATTCAAATATATGAGCCTACGGTGACCATTCTTATTCAAACCTCCATAACCACCCACTCATCACAGGATCAAAAGCATAACATGGGTGAGAGAGAGGGCTCAGGGGTTAAAAGCCTGGCTGTTCTTCCAGCTGACCCAGGTTGTATTCTCCAACTCCATGTGGCAGCTCACAACTGTCTGTAACTCCAGTCTCAAGGGATCTGATGCTCTCTTGTGGCCTATAAGGGCACCAAGCATGCATGTGATAACAAGACATGCCTACAGCCAAAATACCCACCCAGAAATGACTGATTTGTTTCAAAGACTGTTATATTTCCTTTCTTGTCACTGTGGCAAAATCCCTGATAGAAGCAACTCCAAAGAAAGAAGACTTATTTTGGCTCACAGTCTTAGAGGGTGTAAGTCCATCACATTGGGGAGGCAATCATGTTTACAAAATGCAAGAGTTATGAGATCATGGTAGCTTCTACAATAAGAGTCATATGAACAGCAGCCAAAAATACAAAAGTTCAAACAATGCTCAGCCATGTTATAGTTCATGAAGCCATAATCTAAAGAAGTTAATACAATAGAAAATAAGTTAACATATCAAGTTTTCCAGATATCAGCTTCTAAGTTTCCCAAACTGCCTTTTTTTTTCCTTTACCAAAAAGAAAATTTGAGAGAGCCATCCATGTGATGCAGGGTTAAAGTTTCTGCAAATGTCTCCCTATACATAAATGCATACTGGATGCATGGGATACAATGGAGAGTCTGGAAAGACAGAGGTGACAGCAACATCCAATATCCTGAGGGTAGAGACTGAAGACAGTATGGAAAGTATATTCAATAAAATATCTATATTGACTCCAGCTGGGGGCAAATATCCCTGCACAGATTGACCCACATGTCAGGTGTGTAGCTTAAGAACCAGTACTTTGCCTGCTGAGTTTCAACATTTCCTGATTCATTTATTTAATTTCCATATTCCTCTTTTTTGGAATGGGCTAAATTCCTGCGCATATTTCCCATTGGATCACGGAACTACACTACTTGAGTTTTGACTGCTCTGTGACCTCAAAGCTGATTTTTTTTTCTGGTCTCAGAGACTTTGGACTTGGACTTCTGAGCCAGTCTTGAACAATTAAGATCTTGAACTACTAGTGTCACCAACTGGTTGAGATGAATTTTGCTCTATTTAGATAGAAATTGGGAACCCACAGAGAGTTAACAGTTCTGAACTTTGAGTGCTAATGGCTCAGCACTTTCTAGTACATCTCCAACCAAGATCTGTGTGCCAGAGGCACCCGAGTTTTACGGTGTTATGTCTCCATACTTCTGGTGTTAGACACATCAGAAATTAGTGCTGAGGCTCTGCCCTCAATGCTCTGAGCTCAGCTTCCAGCTACTCTCAGCAGCTGTTGTCTGCTTTTTATGCAAACTGCTCAGCCTACACGCCTTATGCTCAAAGACCGTCAGTAGACAGTAAATCAGAGGTCATTTTTGACATGAGTTAGTGAGATGGCTCAGCAGGTAAAGGCACTTGCCTCTAAACTTAATGTCCTGAGTTTAATCCCCAGAACATGTAAAGTGGACAAAGAACTGATTCTAACAAGCTCTCCTTTGACCTCCACATTTGCTCTGGGGCATGTACAACCTTCACCCAAACACACACACTAAATAAATGTCAACTGTTTTTAATTTAAAAAAAAGAAAAAAGCACTAATTTGAAGTTTTATTGAGGACTGCACTCAGGAAATAATTGCAAAAATTAACCAGTGTTATTGCATTAGATTAAAATTTTCTACACAATAGAGAAGAACATCATCAAAAGATGATTGGTAAAGTCCTTAACAAACTCCTAGTATTAAGCACCAAAAAAGAAAAAAGAAAGAAAAATTAACCAATAAAAATGAATTTGAGAATTCTCAAAGGAAGACATACAAATGATCAATAAATACTTGGGGAGAAAATTCAACATTCTTAGCTATTTG